TATGTAATGAATTGTAATTCCGCCCCAACTATTCTCCTGGTCTCCTGGTAAATCCGCTCCTCTTTCCATTCTGAGTTTTCGCCAAAAAATGTTGCTATTCGGTTATGCTCCCGGACGAAGAGAGTATGAACTGACATGAGACCTGTTGTATCCATGAAATATGTATCGTTAGCAAGGAGTTAAAAAGAGATATCAATACAAGATAAAATAGAGGGGCTTGGGACACGAAGATGTCCGACAAACGGCTGTGCAAGATACTCCCTTTACTGCTGTGGGTGTGGTCTTAGAGTTGTCGAGTATGAATGGGCCGAGTTGTTCGAAAGGGGTTTAACGTAAATCTAGGATTAATAGTTAATCCTGGCTTTAATTTCTCCTGTAAATGAGCGTGTTTAAAAGCTAAGGTTTTGTTGGGTTTTATCTCAATATGACTTAAAACTAAAAGGAAAAAAAAGAGGAAAGGAATAATACCTTTGCAAAGCCATTAAATTGATTTAAAAATTTGCACTAACCCTGAGTTACGTTAATCGTGCTTTGAAAAACCTGGCCCTGGTTTTTCCTCGCAATATGAGTACTCCGTCAAGCAGAAAGGTGACAAGAATAAGGAATTATATCGACAAGGGTATATCATTTGATTTACCAACAGATTCCCAGAACTAATACTTTAAGAAATGTATGACAGAAGTAGTGTTGAGGCCTTTGGACCAAAAGGATAAAACAGGGCTCAGGTGCAATTTCATCATTCCAGTTATTTCTAAACAGAGATGTCTGTGAAGAGGCCTCGACAGGGTATCAACTTGATGGAGCGAGTCTGCGTGTGTAGAAGTAACAATATTTTTACAGTTTTATTATAAATATTCGATATGAATACGCTATAGAGGTGGTTAAAAAAGGTCGTTATAGCACGGTCTTTTTGAAGGGATTTGGTGACCTCACCTTGATTCTCGTTCGCGCGCTCGTCTCCGGCTACGAAACAAGGTCTGTTAGGATCTTTTGACACGCATGGTATCTCAGGATCTGTTTGTGCAGGTAAAAAATCCCCCAAGGGGCAGCCGTGACGAGGTTTCATAATTCTCATTGTCCCGTCGGGTGCTCGAAGGTGTTCAGCCTCCTCCTCGTCAGAGCCGTAAACGTTGGAGCCGTCGATGTAAGCTGTTATTATGTTGGTGTGCTCTCTTGGTCCTGGTGAACACTCTGGTTTAAACTCATGGGGAGCATCTCGAATCACTTCAAAGAATCTAACATCCCTGCTTTGGAAGACGTCATCATCGGCCGGAACTTCAACGTTGAAACACTCTGGCTCAGTAGAGGGAACAGTTTCACAAGTAACTCCTTGAGCTTCCGCCAGCGTTAAGTCATGGTCCAGGAACTGACCCCAATTCATGGCCAGGTGGGTCAGCCATGGAGAATTAGGGTTTCGGCGGTCTGCATTGCTGCCATGGACGAAACGACTCACGTCTCTCGCGTTGGGTAACTTGTCTCCACTTTGTGCCACGCGAGGTGCCGAGACCTCATCTGCATAATCAGCTGGTTGTACTCGTCTGAATGGAGTACCAGCTGCTCCAAAAAAGGGTTGATCCACATTATTGCAAGTTCCATCAATTGTTCGGAAACGGGCCTCAGACTTATGTGGACATTCAATGTCACCTAACGGTCGGTGTTCCAAACATTCAAGAACCTTCCTCCTGCATTTGCTTTCTCTTTCTTTCCTGGTAAAAAAGAAATATAAATTGTTTTTTTGCAAAGTATAGAGAGAAATTCAAACGTCACAAGAAATTTAAAAATGCACACAAAATCATCAATTTAAAGGAGAAGTAAGGTATAAGTAAGTTTGAGGTACCGTGGCTTGAATTTTACTTTTTAAGTTTTGGGTAACAAATTTCGATGTAAAGAAAGAGTGGGTCTAAATTCCATAGTAAACTATTTTCTTAAAGGAGAAGGGTCAGAGTTTCCTTTTAAAAAGAGTTTAGGAATAAAGGTTACCCCAAACCTTTCGAGTGCCTTCAAAAAAAAAAAAAGAAAAGAAAGAAAATCGTGTGCTGCATTTGAGAAACCAAACAATACTATAAGGGTCATTGAGAACGTTTTTAGTAAAAGGACTGAGTGGAGTTCAATTGAGTCTGAATTCGGTGGAGCTGTTTCCTGCCGAAAGGTCACTCGGGAGTTCCGACCTAACAGAGATCGTGTTCTTTTTCTTAGGTCGCGTTTAGTGTGATCAAAGGACACTGTCAATCCAGCTAGACAAGACGGCGTAGTTTACAGAATTCCTTGTGAATGTGCCAAAGTCTACATTGGTGAAACGGGAAGACCTATGCGAGAGGATGAAAGAACACGACAGGGATGTACGTTTAGTCCGTACCCAGACCTCCGCCGTTTCTGAACACGTCAACAAGACCGGCCACCACCTGCTTTGGAACGAAGTAAAGTTTATTGATTTAGACTCACACTGGTACAAAAGAGTCAAGGATGCTATCCACATAAGACTTCACCCTGATAACATCAACAGGGATAAAGTCATCAAAATTCCTGACCCGTGGATACCAACGATCAAGAAACACAAAGGGAGACCGGTACGACAGCAAACCACCGTGGGAATAACTTGGAGTCAGACCTCTCGGAAAACCAAAGCTTACCGCAACAATGCGGATCAAAATCCGCTGGTCACATAAGATCGCCGTGATACAAATGGCAACGCGTGAGCAGTCGACCCCATTGCCTGATGAAGATTAGCAGTAAGCAGTTGAAACTTCGTGATCTACATCTCAAGTAACTACATCGCGAGACAAACGATTACGATATTATCAACATTTATACTAAAATACAATTTCTCGATAATTCACGTGCATTTTAAGATTTTAACTTGATCTTTTTGAAAATGTACGTTTAAGTAATTAAACTCTGAACTTCTTTTTGGTGTTCTGGTTTTAGAAACACCTACCTTCTCATCTTCAAAGGTATTCCTAGAAGGTTCAAAACCTTCCTCGTCTTACAAATGTCTCGTATGGCGCATTTGACACAAGCTTCATTCTGTAACGACCTCAGCACTTTCGAGTCGTCCACCACTGATCTTTTACCATGTTGTAATATCTGGAAGCTTTTTCTCAGACTTGTTCTAGATGCTGCTTGGCTATCGTGTTTTTCTTTTTTGGCTTCAGCCATGGATTTTTTCTCCACGGCTTTGAATTCATCTTTGATCTCTTTACAAACGTCGGCCGACACGCTGTCTTGCGCCAGTTCCGTGTTCAGGTGATTCAGTTCGGCAAGGTCATCCGCCACGTCTGCTGTAGTGTAGGTGTCTCCTTTTAACCGGTCTGGGTCGTTCAAAACAGAAGAGGATCCCCGCTCAAATCCCAGAACCAAGATAAACAGTAAAGCACTGAGAAAACGCCCTGCCATGTTGTCTAATGAAGAGCAAAACAAAGTAACTTGGAGCCGTCAACATACAGATCATTCAATTCATTATTGATTTTACTGCTAAAAAATGGTTGACGACAACATTCTCTTTGTAAATGCTTTTTATTCCCCTTAGATTTAAGTGATATGCCGTCTGTGATCCCACTTGATTGATTGTTAAAAGGCTTGATTGATTGTTAAAAAGCAAACTTGTTTTGTGAAACACAGACTCGATTCCTTGAAAAGTGAATATAATATCTTGATAAGCAACTTTCTTTTTCACTTTTGCAAAATAAAGACTTCAAAAACTTGCCGGGAATCTTATAAGCGCAAGGCTAGATTTTTCTTTAGTGGTTTTTGCGTCATGGCGACAGAAAACTTGATTAAAACTTATTCGTTGCAATGGAGGTGAAAAGCTTCTAAAAGGAAACCACTCAAATGCGATTTTAATAGATCAAGGCCACCGAGGCATAAAGCTTCATCTAGGTCATGCGCATCAAGACGTGACTCTTTGCAAATGTTTTTCTTAAAGCTGACTCACGCGGCAATTTTAAACGAATTCCCACAAATTCCAACGTAAAATTTGCATAATGACATATTAAGGCAGCTCATTTAAAGTGTTTCAAGGGATTATCGCTGAAATGTTTGATCAACAAACGCCGAAGACATCTTCGCATGCTCCGACGTCCGACTTTGGCAATTGTCGTCAGAGATTCAAACTTGTTGTTACATTTATGGCCTGTGACAGCGAAAATATGGAGATTTTTCATATTTTCTGACGACAAACCATCGATGGCGATATGATGTGACTCAGCATATCGTGTAAGGAGGTCTTTTTATTTGATTATGTGGAAGGTGTTAATGGCGGCACTTTCCGATTGAGGTAAGCTTCACTTTGTTGCCAGACAACATTATTGATAGAGACTAATTGCCGTAAAGTTAAGGGTTAATCTCTAAACTCTCTGGTAACTGAGTGAAACGTAGAAAAATTTGTATCCTAATAAATTGTAGTGTAAACTTATTAAAAGTTTGTACGGTTTCAAATATTAAGCGCGAAAGTCGGTTTACATGTGTAAATTTATATATATTTAAATAAAATGCCTTTAAAAGCGTTTTCATTTTATGCCATTTTTCTATGTTTCATGGAATTTTTCGTTACAGTTTGCAGGTTTTTATGAATTCTGCCGACAGTTCTCAACCTATTAAAGTTTAGCGTGCACGGAATAAATATTTAAAGGCAAATGTGAAATGTTGTACGAAAATTAGTTTGGGTTACATTTACAAAACATTTTTTTAAAATTTCGTCTTTCCATTTGATAAATATGTGTGGCCTAATAATACTTGCATGGTTCAACATTTTTCACTCCCAACATTACTTTGACAATCCGAAGTACATTCTTACGACTAAATTAAACTCTCACCGGATTCTTCTTCAACCATGGAATTCTGACTCTACTTTACTGGATACTGTCTACATTCTTCTGGTCTTCTCTTCTTTCTAGCTATTTTCCCCATTCTCTATTCTATTCTACTTTTTTCCCTCTTCTCCCAACTCTCTTCTAAGTAAACTCTTATAAAAGAGTATGCTTATATATTCACTACTGACAGATATGGATTGGCATGCCAGCTTGCTGACCTTGAGAGATCAAACATTTGTTGTTGGAACGCTAAACCAAACAATTTCACCAGACTTACCACCTGAACGACAAGGTACTTAGTTACAATGCTTCCTTTCAATTGAGTCAACTTCTGACTGCGTAAGTCAAAATAAGAACTTTCGTGTGGGTCCAAAGTGAGGTCAATAAACAAACTAAGCACGTCAACTTGAGGGTGTTAGACAAGGCTGTCACAATTCGGAAACTCATCACGACAACTCAAACCTAAGTAACTTCGGAATTCGATTTCATACATTAAAGACTTTCTAAATATAAACGAAAAATTAAATCATACTGAACTGACCAACTAATTGACTTATTAATTATAAACTGATAACGAAATGCTTCATAACATCATATGGATGCTTACTAAAATTTGCAACTCAGTCAAATTATCATATTGTAGTGATATAGCTAACTGAACGCCATCCTCCAACAGAGAAAGTTGCTGGTCATTTCTTTGAAAGGTCAATTCTAATTTTTGCGTTCACGAGTTTGAAAAAGTTGAGTAACTTAAAACAAAATTTAGACTATCGACATCTGAAGTAGAAGAAAGGTAATCAGCGAAATATTATTGACATCGAGGTTTTAGTCTGGGAAAACCTTTTGTCTCTTTTACTTTTTTCGCTATTGGTAAACAAACCAATGGCAGCAGTTAGCATTTGACCAATTTTTTTAGAATTCTTGAGGTATTACAGGTCTTTTTAACCCATCGACGCTTGTCAAGTTATAAATCACAATTGACGTCTCAACGTCGAACAATAGCTTTGGGTCACTGGTTCTCAGGCGTGTCACTTTATTTTGGCGACTTTCTTGATGTTTGACTTAGCCGCGATACTGAAAAGTGAAATGGGTTCTTCCTTAACCGCGAACTGTCAAAAGTAAAATTAAAAAAACAAAACAAGAAAACAAACAAACTCCTGCTTCTGTTTCTGATCTCGAAAAATATTAGGTTAAGCTTAGCCTGTTTTTAAATCCGATTTCTTTTTCATACTCTTAAATAAAGCCGAATGTCGGTGCTCTGATAGTTCATCAGCACAGACCTTTTGGACAAAACCCTTATAAATCGCTATGAAAAGCGGAAATAAAAAGTTGGCACCGTTTTTCTAATGTTGCACGATCGAGTTGAAAAAAGCCAATTCAATCTTGGTCAGTTAAACATACTTTATCATATAAACTACGGTGTCATACAAGGATTTCCAGCCCTAAGAAAAGCAGTAACAGCACACGCGAAAAAATATGATATTTTGTCACGTGTGTTTGATATCGCTAATCAGTTGCTGACACGTCACTTGCCTTTCGCATCAATCAGTCAGGTTGATGAACGAACAGCAAAGCCTTCACTATTCTTAATCCATGGTTGTTTGACGGAGTTTTTCTCGGATTATGGCTATTAAAACACTGAAAAATCCTCATCGCTTACAGAAAGTGATGTTAAAATTTCCTAGAAGGGGAAAAAAACCAAAACACGAAATGAAAAACCAAAAGTTACGTATTCAGTGGCTCTGGTGATGGCGCTTCTCGCGGCTTAGAACGAAAATCGATAACTGCAAGATCTGCCACAGGCCGATTTTGGCTGTGTACCTGAAAGATTTCTTTTGTCTGTTAGGACTAAGTCAATAATTTATTGAAAATTACGCCCATTGTTGATTTCGTAGTGATTCAAGGCATTTTTTCATCTCGAGCCTTAGCGCCAATGCACATTACAATTTTTATTCGGGGATCGTTGATCCTTTTATTTTCATTCGTTAATAAAGTCGACTTTTCTTTCCAGTAAAAGACTATTGTGTTTACACGATAATCGAAATAATACCTGTTGCTCGTGGATATGGAATTTCTCTTCTCATGTTCAACTCGATAGCTCACGAGTAAGCGCAGCGAACGAGTAAGGTGTCGAGTTGAACACTCGAAGAGAAATTCCATATCTACGCGCGCCCATGTATTATTCTCTATATAGTCTACACATATTGATTGGTTAAGTTTACTGATCTTTTTAACGCTATGATTAACACCAATATCCTTACAGAGGCTAATTAACCAATAACTACGGTCAGGTCTTTGATTTGAAAACAGTCGATTCTTTTCGGAAAAAAATTACGGCTTAATCTGATCTCGTCTGAAACCCTTCGACTACGTTTTCGGTCTGTTATGACGCGAGAACGATGCTTTTAGACTAGAGTTATAAAGACTTTTTGATGACCCTAAGGCTATTAAATAATGTAGGAAATAATGAATAAGGTATTGGTGTAGATACATGTAACTAACGTACGCAATTCATTCTTACCTTCGAGTCAGTTAATTCTTCGCAAAGAAACTACCAAACAGCTCTAACCTTTCTGACTTAAAATTTGTTATTTTATAACCCCAAACAGGAACTTTATCGGTTCAATGCGACTTTTGTTGTGATAATTTTGATGCAATCAAAATGAATATTTGCCAAAAACAATGGTTTTTTGTTGATCGATTTTTTGCACCGAGAAAATACTTGATTTGTCTATAATTTAAGATAAGGAAGCTGTTCAAAAGGGTTGCAATTCACGCTGTGACTTAAAGCCCGGCAGCCGAGCACGGTTTCAAATAGACTAAATGCCCGGTAGTCAGAAATTTTCACAGAATTTCTATGAGAAGGTTCTTCCAACTTTCTTAAGAATTTCAGATCTTTGTTTAGAAATGTCAAGCAATTCCAAATCATGTATGGAATTGTCTTTTAATTGGATAAATTCTCCGAGCCAATTAGGAATTCTATGCTTCTGATCAGACTATTTGGAATATTCGAGGTTATTTAGAAATGCCAAGCGATTCAAAGAATTACGTTGGTCAAGCTTGAACGTACCAAACATGTTTTAAAGCTCGGGAGGTCACAATGGTTTCGTAGAATGTTGCCTTGAGATCACTGTGGCGTGACAGTTAGGGACAGCTTCAAGTTTAGTAAATGTAGAGGGAAAAAAATGCAGAAAACCTCAAATAAAAGCTATGAGGAAAAGTCGATGTTTGTCTGCATATCTCATATGGGGGTATTGTGATAAAAGATGCACCGCCTCTGTTGGAGATCTCTACATCAAGTGAACCAAAATACAGCTTAGGGAAACATGCTGAATTATTGCCAAGTTCACGATTTGGTAGCTTACAGAAAGAACTTTTTATTAAAGAAAGAACTGGTAAAAGTGCCATGTACGAGAGGAACTAGAACTCTTCGAAGACATTTTGGTGAATAATTAAATTTACAACTGTCGGGCATTCAGTCTATTCGAGACGGTGCCCAGCAGTTTGATCAAAACGTAGAAATTCTTAGGGTTAAGAAATGGAGTGCAAAGTTCAGATGGTCTTCAATAACAAGGTACGTGTTACTGATGCCTGACGTTGCGGTTTTATACGAAAAACGATTGGGAGATCCACGAACCAGTAATTTTATGTCTGACTAGGGTTAACGCGCTCACCCACCGACCTTTTTATTCATTTTTCGCTTTTTCAATCAACTGTACTTAACTGATGTTTGAAGGGGATTGAAGTTAAATTCAACTGTCTCGAGGTTGCACATGTGGCAAAGTGACTAAACGCTACAACAAGTTAAGTGTTAACTCTATTCCCGATAATTCACTTAAACCAGCGACGAATCATAAGCCTTTCTCTTCTTTCATCAGGTTTTGCTATGAACAGAAAATCGCTTTTCAACAAGATGCTTCAATACTAAGGCGGATAGTTTAGTTCACGTAGAGTATTGAAAATGAATTAATTACGAATGACTAACATCCAATGTTTCCTCACAAATGAATATCACCCCATTCATGAAGGTCCCGGGAATAGAGAGATTGATCATCAACTAAACAAGCTTTTGATTGTTAAAAATATTCTCTTTCTCAGTACCTTAGAAGATACACCAAGAACAGTATGGAGAATATGCGTACTGATGTTATTGTGTAATGGTAAGGCAACTCATAAATCTTCTTGAACTTAGACTCTAGAGCTGATACTCGAAAAGTGATCCGCTACGCATGTAAGTTGATAGTCAATAACGAGACACTGATTGATGCGTCACTGAAGTTAACTTTACTACACCAATATCTGAGGCGAAATGTGGCTTCCAAAATTAATGATCTAGATAGCCTTTTTGAAATTACACATGGAACCTCCTTACATAAAACTAAAAAAACGACAACAATAGCAAAATTAGCTTAACGCCTGTCAGATGCACCAATGGCAACATCTTGCAGGCTACAAATGGTAATAATAAGGGCGCCATCCCCTGTAAGTTTGAAAACAGTACAGCCAGTTACAAAGAAACGTTACATTTCATAAACAAAAATTCTCATACTCCATTTTATGAATTTTAATGCTTTAATCTACACTTTACATCGTGCGCAAATCTAGCTTAAAACATTAAACCGAGGTCGAAATAATCTATAGTTTTCTAACAAAGTACAAATCCCCGGGTCCGAGTCAAGGGGCTGATGAGGCTGATGAATTATTCTGTGTTCGTGGACGGATTACTCAGTCGATCCTTCGTCATCTTCATCCTAAGGGTGTGAGGAGTCACACCAGACTCTGCTGGAAAAAATAACAGTCAAATAACAGTTAATCAAATTTGAGAGGAATTTAGGTGAAGTCTCTTACAAAGCAATGATAGTTGCATACCTTCTCTGCCGACATTTGAAATCTGGTGTAAACACATCCAGGTTCATTTTGGGAAGCTTATTACAATCCACGAATACCTTTGACTGTTGCAATACCCTCTTGGGGATAGATGGAATGTTCTCAGCATTGTCGCAGATTATCTTGGCCAATGTAACCTTTCTTATTTCTTGCAGTTGGCATCGCGTAAAAGCTGTTTTATCAGTGTCCAGGCTTCGGTTTGGTGCATTTTCATGCCAGAAGCGGTCACCCTCTCGTAGGCGTTTGAACTGGTCAGCTAATAGACATTGAAAGGTTTTCCCTAGTGCTCCTCCCTCTGAGTCTGCAGGCTCCAATATTCCTGTGAAGAGTCATTAAAAAGGAACAATTACTCACAAACGCTGTTTTAAACCTTCCTCCTCCTGCGCTTAATTATTTCACTTGTGTAAGTTTAACGAAAGTGAAATACAGATATGCCCCAGTGCCTGGCGTTTTTTTGTTTTGTTTGGATTCTGGAGTACGCATAATTAAGCGAATCCTTCATTATGATTGGCTACTCGAGTAGGCGAGGTTCGGTAACACCGGCTTTGATCCCGCAAAAGGAAACAAAGAGCTTGTCCCTGGTTCCCATGCTGGTTTTCTTCCCCTTCTAGGAAAGTTTGAACGTCACTGTCTATAAGCGATAAGGATTTTTCAGTGTTTTAGCAGCCTTAATCCGAAAATATTCCGACAAACTAACTCGTAATGAGAATCGTAAAGGCTCGCTGGACTAGAAATCCTTGTACAACACAATATTTTATAAGATAACTCGCGTTCCCCCGCGCTTGAGGCAGTTTGCTTGCTTTTTCTTGCAGTTTTAGATGACTCCTAATGATATGTACTGATTGGTAGTTGTGATTGCTTTGGTTTAAGAATTACGACTCTCAATCAAAATGCACTCTATAAAGTAGTCCGGGATTGCATCTGTCAGTTTTGTTTCACTATTCTTTGTGGCCGGTCAAGAAAAGTTACGCCGCCGTCTTAAACAATCAGGTGAAAAACTTCAAACAAAGACGACTTGGTCACTTACGTTTTTCTGTTCTTCAGTCAGTTTTCTAGCTTTTCCCCCTCCCTTCTTTATGAGTTCTGATTGGCTTCCTATGATGATTTGCTTTGTTTTGATTGGCTGATGTAATTACTTTAGACTTGGTTTCACAACACTCAATCGAAATTGGCTGAATGGCGGCATTACGCTGGCGCATACATACCTCCAACGAAAAGATCGACGTCGTGGACTGACTGGTACTGGGACTTCAAATTATCTATATCCTTTTGGGTGATGCCAGCCTTTTGCAGATCTTCGAAGCTGTTTACTATAGGCGTAATTTTACAAAACGAGTTTCGATATGTTGTGTATGAAGGCAAACCACGTTCGCGTCCTCTTTGGATGTTCAGGGATACGAGGTCGGACAAGTCACCAGGGCCTCGAAACAAGTTTTCTTGTACAGACTTGGAAAAGAGCCTGGGGAGAGAATCAGGTCAACCCAGGGATCAACCTTATGCAAATCAATATCGTGTATTGAGTAACTGACAAACCTAGTCATAATTAATATTACGGAAATGGGATATTTTCAATAACCGGATTTATTGCTGTAATGATAATATTGGCTCGCTTTTTCAGTTCAGACAAGAGATACGTAGAAAAATGTTCAATTAAAAATTCATCTCGTACTCACCCATCAACTTTGGATGCTGGACTTTTAACCAAGCCTCTAAAAATGGAATCGACACCCCCATTACACTTATCGTATAAGTAGGTTGGATTACCAAAGTCCTTTACTGGGATGGGCAAGAACTCTGACTTAGAATCATTGCTACATTTGTGGTCAAAGCCATTCTGACTTAAGCGTAAAAACTCCTCTTGAACCATACTGTGACCAAATCGGTAAGCCGCCGCAGAGAAGGCTTGAGACGTTTGGGCATTGATACAAGAGTTGTAACCATTAAAATACCGTGTTCCTTTCTGCAGAGCGAGGTTGTTGTCTCTGATCTACAAAATGAAGAAAAGAAGTCAGTTGGGAATTCGAAAAAAAAAACAAAGATTAATACAGTTACTTACCGTTTTCGGGCTAAGAAGCAGTGGCAGAAATTCGTTGTATGTAATGAATTGTAATTCCGCCCCAACTATTCTCCTGGTCTCCTGGTAAATCTGCTCCGCTTCCCATCCTGTGTTTTTATCGAAAAATGTTGCTATTCGGTTATGCTCCCGGACGAAGAGAGTATGAACTGACATGAGACCTGTTGTATCCATAAAATATATATCATTAGCAAGAAGATAAAAGAGCTATTTAATATAGGAGGAGATGGAAGCGCTTGAGACAGGAAGATGTTCGACAAATACCCGCGCAGGATACTCTCTGTATTACTTGTCGAGTATGAGTTATTTCATTACCTGAAATGACCGAAAAGCAGTTTCTCCTCGCAACACGAGCACTCCCTCAAGTAGAAAGGTGACGATATAGCGTACATATCAAAAAAGGGTATATTATTTGATTTACGAATTACCAAGAACTAATACCGTAAGAAAATTATGCAGACATTCAGAAGCAATAGTGTTGAGATCTTGGGACCAACAGGGTTAAACAGAGCTCATGTGCAATTTCATCATTTTAGTCACGTCTTAATGGGGACGTCTCTGAACAAGTCTTGACACCTTCTGCCTTCTGCGTGGTCTACATGTGTAGAAGTAACAATATTTTACAGTTTTATTATAAACATTCGATATGAATACGCTATAGACCTGTTTGAAAAAGGTCGATATACCACGGTCTATTTGTCTTAATTAGAGAAGCGAATGAAGTTATTTGGTGACCTCACCTTGATTCTCGTTCGCGCGCTCGTCTCCGGCTACGAAACAAGGTCTGTTAGGATCTTTTGATGCGCATGGTATCTCAGAATCATTTTGTGCAGGTAAAAGATCCCTCAAGGGGCAGCCGTGATGAGGTGTCCTAATTTTCATTGTCCCGTCGGGTGCTCGAAGGTGTTCAGCCTCCATCTCGTTAGAGCCGTAAACGTTGGAGGCGTCGATGAAAGCTGTTATGTTGTTGGTGTGCTCTCTTGGTCCTGGTGAACACTCTACCTTAAACTCATGGGGAGCATCTCGAATCAGCTCGAAGAATGTAACACCCC